GAGCTTTCTCTTTGTGTGATCTTATCACACCATACAAATGGATGTAGGTGTGACTTTGAAATGACAAATCAGTTTTCAATCACCTCCTTTCATTTTCGTTGGATGATAGGATTTTGAAAAACGGGAAGCAATGGGTGTCTTTTGGGGGCTAGCATGCCACATTTAACTCTTACAGTTGTGTAAATTTTGACCCCAGATGGCAATTTTGAAATCACTGGGTCTTTTCCTTGGGAAAGGATGAAGTGCTGAAATTAAAATTTTAACTAAATAGAGACGAATGAAACTCGAGCAGAGAAAAAAAATAATAAAAAGAAACAAATATACTTATATTCAGACTTAGTGCAAGGTCAGTAATCTCCCCATCCCTTCATGAACATAATACTGAATCCTAAACAACTTGTAAGTTAATTATAAACAAATTATTACATCATAAACTATTATAATGTAAAGAAATGCTGTTATTTCAGAGAGTAGAGAAGGAGAAGTCTGGTGCTGCCATCAATTGACAAGGTACCCTCAGTAGGGGTGCCGGTATATATTATATACTGGTATTAAAAATGTATACATAATCTTCTTTTAATTATCAGTTTTGATTGAAATGCAGTAATTTAAAAGGTTCAGCATGTATACGTCACATATATTTACAGATTTTAAATTTTTTCTTTCCCTCCAACAGAATTTATCAATCTTCAAACATGATACCTTGGAACGATGTATATTAATTTCATAATTGCAAAATATTGAGCATTCATTGGATGGTGCTGCCATTTAGGAAACACTACAAACTTACGATTATAGCTTTTGGTGTAGAGAAATTGGCATTTTTTCGGAGGTTAAAAAATTGACAAACAACCGGCGCCTTTCAAAGGGTTAAGGAAATTATGTTTTAGTTCTCCTTTCATCAGTGGATGGCACCAGTAGCTTAACTCTCGCCCTTCCTTTCTTATCTTGTCTAATAACTATATTTTATCTCGCTCTTTGACAGCTGAGGAAAATGGTTTGGTAAAATCATTGAAACTAGTTCTGTAAAAATTTGCATATATAACTCTGATTTTTGTTTGATTTCTAAATTAATTCACATTTAGAAGTGGCATTAAGCATTTAGTGGGACAGGTTGCATTTGTGACCAAGGAAAATTACATTCTGATTGACCTTTTATCTTTGAGGAAGTTGATGAGTAAGTGGCCTGGCTCTTTGTAAATTTATCTCTAACAGTTTATGAAAGACCAAATGTGTGTGCTTCAAATACCCACAGCATTAAGTAATATTCAAGAATACATCAATGCTGCACTCAATTCTTATCATACAGTTACATTTCATAATGTGTGGCTGGTGTTGTGTTATTGCATCATTGTTTCCTATGTAACAGGTGAAGTACATTGAATGTTTGTGATTCAAATCAATGTCACCAAAATTTTGTGGGTTTGTGCTGCTGTGGCAAAGGAAATAGCAAAAAATTGGGCAAAAGTATACATTTTAAAAATAAGTTACTGATTTTATATTTACTGTATGTCTACAACGAATATAAAAGTATAAGTGTATTGAGCACAAGTTAAAAATAAATAATTTTCAGTAATGGAAGTAAATTATATGAGCAGTATGGTTTTTGTTTAAACTGAACTTGTGCTATTTTGAAAAATTAAATTAGGGAAAAGTGTAACATTTAATTGCTAACATATTGCTTATGAACTGTCTTTTATTAATTGTGCTTGGGGCATGTACGTAAATTTATTAGTTAAATATCTTATCAAAAGTTATTTTATTCAAAAATTAAAATGAAGGTATATCTTGCTAAGAAATAAATAGGTTGTTTTTAAACCTTCCATTTGGTTATATTGTAATAAATTGTGTAATTATGTTTTATAAGGTCTTCCTTTGCGACTGACATAAGCTGTCCAAATAGACATAATTTAACACTGTATACATTAAGAAAGTTTGCTATTTTTGTAAAGCTGTGTTTTTTAATACATCATAGGATATTTAAAATATAAAAATTATGTACTAAATTAATAAAATATCTGTCTTGAAGTATATTTATAAATTGTCCCTCTCGGTGATCCCCCCCATGAGATTAACAAATTTATTATATTTAGAAATGGCATTACAGTATCATAAATCTTAAGACACAATAACGCGCCGAACAAATACTAATTCAGAAGTCAAACAACAAAAATCAGCGTTAAATTTTCAAATTTTCACAGGACTAGTTTTGATTGTTTTTCCAACCATCATCATCAGCTGAAAAAGCACAAATGAACGAGATAGGATATAATGATTAGATAAGATAAGAAAGCCTGGACAGGAGATAAGCTACTGGCGCCATCTGTTGATGAAACCAGAACTAAAACATAATTTCTTTAAAGGCTGAAGGCAGAAATGGATTGGAATTACCATCGTTAACTAGAACAGAAAGATTTTTTTGAATGTGAAATGTCTCTAGAAAATCCAGTACACCAATGGAAGATGTTTTTTGAATAATTTTGAAAGCAGAAAAATTTACAGTGTGATTTTCGGACCAACAATGTTAGGCAACAGAAGATTTCTGTGTTTTCTTTTTTCTAACATATGCCTCATGTTCCTTGACGCGAAATTTCAAGGCTCTCTTAGTTTGGCCAGTGTAAATTAAACCACACTGGCAAGGAATCCTGTAAATACCCCAGGAATTCATATCCGGAATGGGGTCCTTGAGTATGGAACTCAGAATTTTATTGATGGGAGAATAAACAAAGTTAAATTTCTGCAAAATATGTGCAACTTTATTGCTAATTGAGAGAAAGAAGGGAATGACAACAGAATTTTTATAATCACCTAAAACAAGAGTGTGCCTTTTGGTGTGTTGAGATCAGAATTTTTTAACTGCATGGTTAATAATGTCGTGTTAAAATCCCCTGTCAATAGCTATTGCTTTTAAATAATTTAGTTCTTCATCAAGGGATAGTTTAGAGGAGCAAACTTGAAAAGCACGGAAAACATAGGAATAAACTGAAGCTAACTTTTGTTTAGTCGGATGACATGATTTAAAGTGTGGTGGAAGGCAAACCGATGAAGGTTTACGGTAAACCGTAGTACTGAAGTTGAATGTGTTACATGTGACCAGAATGTCGAGAAGCAGAAGAGAATTGCAAGTCTCAAGTTCAAAAGTGAACCGAATAGCAGGATCAATAGAATTCAATGTTGAAAGAACTTTATTTAAATCATCTTTATTACCTTCAAACAGGGTAAAAGTATCATCTGCGTAGCGGAACTATACCGGGAAGTTTAAAATTTCAAACACTTTTGATTTATAACACAGCTCCCCTCAGTGCCATCCTGGCGGATATCTACATGTTTTCTATTCGTTTCAGTGTGGGATTTTTCTTCTGTTTTGTGCGTGCTTTATTATTGGTTAGTTAATTTAGTTTGATTTTCTGCATTGTATAAGCTTCATCTGGAACTCTCTAATTCATATCCAAAATTCACTTCCCTTGAATAGACGTCCTGGTCTAGAACGAAGAATGCAGTTAACCATCATAAAAACACCCTTGCAGTTAAATTCGAAAAACTTCTTTTACAGTCATCCAGTTCAAGTAGTTCGAATCAAGTAGTCTCATCCTGGCTGATATATACATGCATTATTATGAATCAAAATTGTTTGAAACTTTAAACTTCCCGGCATGGTTCCGCTATGTAGACGATACTTTTACCCTTTTTGAAGGTAATAAAGATGATTTAAATAAAAGTTCTTTCAACAATGAATTCTATTGATCCTGCTATTCAGTTCACTTTTGAACTTGAGACTTGCAATTCTCTTCCGTTTCTCGACACTCTGGTCACACGTAACACATCCAACTTCAGTACTACAGTTTACCGTAAACCTTCATCGGTTTGCCTTCCACCACACTTTAAATCATGTCATCCGACTAAACAAAAGTTAGCTTCAGTTTATTCCTATGTTTTCCGTGCTTTTCAAGTTTGCTCCTCTAAACTATCCCTTGATGAAGAACTAAATTATTTAAAAGCAGTAGCTATTGACAGGGGCTTTTCACCCAACATTATTAATCAAGCAGTTAAAAAATTGTCATCTCAACACACTAAAAGGCATACTCTTGTTTTAGGAGATTATAAAAATTCTGTTGTCATTTCCTTTTTTCTCTCAATTCGCAATAAAGTTGCACATATTTTGCAGAAATTTAACTTTCTTTATTCTCCCATCAATAAAATTCTGAGTTCCATACTCAAGGACCCCATTCCGGATATGAATTCCTGGGGTATTTACAGGATTCCTTGCCAGTGTGGTTTAATTTACATTGGTCAAACTAAGAGAGCCTTGAAATTTCGCGTCAAGGAACATGAGGCATATGTTAGAAAAAAGAAAACACAGAACTCTTCTGTTTGCCTAACATTGTTTTTGTTGTCCGAAAAATCACACTGTAAATTTTTTCTGTTGCCTGCCAAAATTATTCAAAAAACACACTTCCATTGGAGAAGTGGATTTTCTAGAGGCATATCACATCACATTCATAAAAATCTTTCTGTTCTAGTTAACGATCCTAATTCCAATCCAACTTTGCCTTCGGCCTTTAAAGAAATTATGTTTTAGTTCTGGTTTCACCAACAGATGATGCCACTTGCTTATTCTTGTCCAGGCTTTCTTATCTTATCTATTCATTATTTCCTATCTTGTTCATTTGCGGTTTTGCAGCTGAGGATGGTGGTTCGGTAAAACCATCGAAACTAGTCCTGTGAAAATTTTGTAAATTAATGCTGATTTTTTTTGTTTGACTTCTGAATTATCATAAATCTTGTTAGAGGTTTATTTGTTACATAGTTTGAGTTGAGTATGCAGAAATGCTCCCATTACATATTTTTGTGAAGGTAGCTGTAGTTGTGAATTATCCATATAACCAGAGTCTAAATTCTTTTATTAATTGAAACTGTCTGTAATTGTACTTTTAAAATAATTCATTAGGAATTATTTTTAAATTCCTAATGAATTTTCAAATAATTTATTTATTTTATAGGTATTTATCATAGATGTTTGGAGAATAACATTATTTCTGAGATTATTTTAAACAAAATTCGAAGTGAACTAGAATGGAATGCAGCAAAATCAAAACCAGAGGAATTCGAAAGAGGAGGTTCCTTTTATAAGCAAGTTGCTAAATCAAATGTCTTGCATGAAAAATTGCATACATCTATCAATTACTTTCCAGACAAGGTAATGTACTGTATTTTTGTCATTTCATGCAGTTATAAGTGTTGCATTTTTTACTTCTGCTAATATTAAAGTTTATGCTATCTCTTTTGATTTTAATTTGCATTAAGAACTTTTGTATTTTTGCAAAATCTTTCAGGGCTTCGAAATAGCAAAAAATTATCTTTCATCTTAATGTAATTGTAGAATTTTCATAGTATTATTGTTATTTTCTTTTAATATTTGCTAATAGCAATAATTATTGATGATTATAAAACACATGCCACCCTTCCAGATTTTCGACCATACCCCCCCACACCAACCCAGTTTACAATATATTTCTTGAGACGTCCTCTTTCTAAAGTTCCTTGTGTTTTACGTAACATGGCATAATAGTTTTTTGTTTACACTCAGGAACACATGATTTATTTTTAAAAATAACCTGTCATCAGTGGCAGGCTATAGTTATATGTGCAAGAATAGATGTGTTTGAAAATGCCATGTTTCAATTCTCTTATGATTATCAAGCATGACTACTTGTCATTTTACTTGCATCATCCAATAAACATAAGACCTAGATAGATGGTTTTTTAATTGTTCCTGCAAAATTTGACATCAATAGTCCTTTTTTACATTGTGTGATTCAATTCTTTCCTAAACAAAGCAAAATGTGTTACTACTGTTATTAACGATTAAACAGAAACTGATAAAGTGTTAGTTTTTATAAAGGTATACAAATAGTATGTACATTTATTTTCTATATGAATGTCATTATAGACTTGTTAAAAAATTAGTGCCAGCACTTTCAGATTTCACTGTCTGTCTGTTGAAGAAATGACAGATTTCGCCATCCATTAGTTGACTGTTAATCACACTGCCATCATAATGGAAATCTTATGTTATTTTCATTTATTATAATTTTCCACATTTCCTCACAAATTCTGTTCATTGGAAAATTTCACCTTTTATAACAACCTTCTGTTCTTCTACTGAGAATTTCACCTTCTCTTCTTCTACTCAGAATTTACACCAAAATAAGACTTGTTTTGTCTGATTTTTAAATATCACTTTCTTAAGACCTAATTTTGGCGATCCATTATCTCTTGTCAGACCATCATGACAATCACCAGTATGCTTTCGCTTTGTAGATTCTGTTACAACTCCGAAATTAGGAACTCTTTTCCACGTATTCAAAAATTCAAACTTTAATTATGGAAATGTAGCTGTTATAATGACAGCCTGCAAAAAAACAATAAGCCAGATCAAATTAGAAAGTCAAGGAAGAATGCTATTTGCTGCTAACTGAGCTTACATTCTTCAGAATCTCTCTTTCTCTTCTCTGCTGTTGTGTTAAGAAAAGAAAACTTACTGTAAATAGCTGTCTTGCTTTTGGATAGTCAAATAGCTGTCTTACATTTAATGCTTAGGTCAGATAGAAAAATGTTTACCCTCCCTACCTCCAAAACCCTTCAAAGGCAGAAATCGTGTTCGTGGCTGTTGTAAATTAATGGCTGTTTTGACCAGTGTGGGATTCCTTAGTCAGGAGTTGTTGTACTTGACTTATAGGAATCTCAGTTAGGCAGGACAAAGGTCACTTTACAGCACATCTGGATTTTATTTTATTTATGCATTTTTTTAATTATATTCTCCATTCCGAAATGTATTAAAAGAATATTTTAAAAATTGTTGGTGACCTGGATATTTAATGTTCAGACTTTGAACTGTAAGTAACTAATGTATTTTTAGTTTATTGATATTTTATTTACATAGCCAATAATTTAAGTTAAAATTTAACAGTCTCCTACATTGAGGAATGTTTTCCCAGCCACTGGTTTAGAAATGGTTTATGTCACCCTCTGTTTTTAAATTATTCTGCTGAATCAACTTTGTTCAGAAAAATTAGTATCACACGATTGTGCTGTTAATGCAAGGGCAGTAAGCTTCTGAGCAGCATGTCTTCATGGAGAATATTGAACCTTACAAAAATCAGGGTAAATTTGAGAAATTAAATTCAACATTTTGAGTTTTTTTGGGGGGGGGAAGAAGATCCTTTGACTATTTGACAAATTATATATAATACTTGGGGGTAAAACTGAAAAATCGTGGTAATGTAAAACCGGTTTTTTAGCTTATGCAAATGCCTTTTTACCTACGTTTCACTTAAATGCTAAAAGGTGTGCGACATATTTTAGGCTTACAAAAGCATAAGAAAATTAACTTATTAACTAAAGAAAATTAAACTTATTTTTAAACTTAGAGAACATAGTGAAAAAAAGAATTTTTATAATAATGGTGAAATAGAAGAATGTTATTATTATACATCACTTGTAGTGAAAAGAATTGAAAGAGTGAATCATCAAAGATTCAAATGTCTCCAAATGTTGGGGATGCCTGTGTACATACTTGCATTCTAGTGAACTGATTGCTCAGTAATTTCATTATTTTTTCCTTTCAGAGATTTTGCTATAATCCTACAAGTGACAGGATTGAACTGTGTGAAAAACAACTTGGCCACTTCAGCATTGCATCTGATCTGGAAGAAAGAATTAAGGAAGCAAGGAGAGGTAAACTAGTTGAAGGTTTCAGTAGGTGTCCATTAATGAGCAATCAAAAGGAGCAACAGAATAATCCAGTTATGAGGAGGCCAGCAATTTCTTCTGTTTTAAGCTCACGAGAAGTGAAAAAACCATCTCTTGTTCGCAAAGGACCGGGTTTTTCAGTTCTAACTAGTCCAGAATCTCCTGATAAGATGAATATTTCATAGTATTTTTATATTGAGAAATATTTATTTGTAATATATATATATATACATATATAAATTTTTCATTTACTTTTATGGTTAATTAATAACTTGAAAATTAATAAAATGTTTTCCTGAATTATGTTACTGTCTTTTTCCCCACCCAACCCTCATTTCATTTTGGACACATCAGAAATTTTTAATTTTTATACAAAATACACAAGACAACACTTGACGGTATACTTGCTGCAAGTTTAATCAAAAATACCTAATCTGTTGCAATAAAATAGTCATTGAACATGTTCAGAAAATAAAATTGGTATGAGGTATTTTTTTTTTTTTTTTTAAATATATATACACATTTACATTGAATTCAACAGTTTTTACACTGTTGAATTCATTACAGTTTTTTTCTCTCCTTTCCTCCTTTAAATTTTTCTGACATATCATTTTTCTAAAGTCAAAATCATTGCAGAATGGTAATCTTTGAATCATCTGATATCGATAGATTGAATAATAGTTTTAAAATGAGAATATATTAGAATTTTTAAGTGATTTACTGAATTTCCCTCTTTTTTAAGCTGTTGGTAGCTAATATTATTGAAGGGATTTTAAGTTGAAAAATTACTGTCGGAAAAAGGGGAAAGGGAATTTTCAAAGTGCTATATTAGGTTCTCAACTGATTATAGTAACATTTATGCATTAATTCTTAATTGAGTAATATTTACACACTATGATGAATAATGTGAGTGACTTTTTTTAAGAAGTAGGTATAATGTTTACTGTGTTTCAAGAAACCTATAACATTAGACGATGTTGAACACTTTTATGTTTTGAAACTTAATTCGTTAGCATTTTAAGCTAAAGCTATTTTTTTATTTGAAAAAATTCCACTAACATCAACAGCAACTAACAGAGCATATAATGGAACCTAGAGATACGAGTTTAATTCATTCCAACTTTGAGTTTGTATAGCGAATTGCTCATATCTAGAAACAAACTTCCCCACTGGAAATAATCAAAATCTAGATGATCTGTTTTGCACCCCGTAAAATATCGACATAAAAGTCAATTTTTCTAATAAATAATGCTGGTGAATAATATAACCATAGTTTACCTTTATGAAGCGTTCTGATTGGTGATAGGGATGTGGAGAAGACAAGTTACTGTCGTAAAAGGGTGGGAGAGCCTCCTCTGACTCAGACTTTTTTTTTTCCTTGGGAATTTTACAGCAGGTTCCAAGTCAGAATCACTTAACTTTCTTTTAATTGCAAATTGCTTTACCAGAATCTTATATAATAATAGTTGCTTCTGTCTTTTTTTAAGAAGCCCTTTAAATGCAACACTACATTGTCATTACACAAGTTCATGCTATGCCCACACACTGCTTTATTAGGGCGATTTTCTTCAAAGAAAGTTTTGACTTCTTTCCACTTTACCAACACTTCTTTAATATTGTTGGAAGAGAGGGCCTCATCTCGTATTCCCTCCTCTTCTAACGAAATCTCTTCTACCACCTCTTGCTGCTGTCTCTGTGTGAAGTTTTGTAAGTTTGTTCATTGGAAATTCTTCACTGTGCTTCTCTACTAACTAATCCAGATCAGCACCATCCACATCCAGAGCCATACTTTTCCCCAGAGATACAATTTCTTCGACTAGCTGCACTGTGTTGTCCACAAGTTGAGGATCGAAACCTAAGTCAAAAATACTCTGAGGCCAGGGTTTTTTCCACGCTGAATTGAGGGTCCTCACTTAGATGTCTCCCCAAGCCTTATCAATGAGGTTTAAACAATTTAGGATGTTGAAGTGATTTTCCAAAATTCTCTGAGGGTCAGGCTTGTATTTTTGGTCTCTTTGTTAACAAGGCCTTCGTGTACAGCTTCTTAAAGTTGGAAATAACATGCGTGGTCCATAGGCTGGAGAAGTGGAGTTGTGTTGGGAGGAAGAAACTTGACTGAATGAACTGAAATTCCTCCAGCAAATCATTTTCAAGCATTGGAGGATGTGTAGGAGCATTATCAAAGAATGAGCAAAGCCTTGAGTGGCAACTTATTTTCGTGAAAATATTTTTATTCACTGAGGAACCAAACACTTCTTTGACCCATTTGGTGAAAAATCAGTGTTACTCGGGCTTTCCTGTTCGCTCACCACATCACATTCAGTTGGTTTTTCTGCACCTTCTCCCTTTTGAAAACTTGGGGATTTTCTGAGTGGTAGATAAGCAGCGGCTTGATTTTACAATCTTCACTTGCGTCAGCACAAAAGAAGAGGGTAAGCCTATCTTTCATTGGCTTGTGGCCAGACCAAGATTTCTCCTCTTGCATGATGTAGGTCCACTTAGGCATTTTCTTCCAAAAAAGACCTGTTTTACACAATTAAGCATTTTCTAGGGAAGAACAACCTCACTAGTAATAAAATGTATGAACTCTGGCCGAGATTTATCAGCAACGGCTCCCCTTAAATGTCATCTTCATTTGACGTACCATGGTGTTTTTCGGAGAAGGTCCAAGTACAGATTCTTAGCCTTAGCGCAAATGACAGTTCTGACACCGAACCGCCTTTTCACTGCTTCTCGTTAATTCACAGTGCAAATGATATCTTTCGATGCTGAAACTGCCTTTTAACTGCTTCTTGTTACTCCATACTAACAACAGTTTCTCAGCGTCTTCTAGAAGTTTTGGAACGGTAACTCCTTTGACTACATCAAGTTTCTTAACTTCTTCCTCTTTCTTCAGAATAATGCCAATCTTCAATGTCGAACGGCCATAAGTCTTCACCAATTCTGTCGCTCTTACATCATGCTTATGTTTATCTATAATTTCTTAATTTCAATGCCCATGGCTTCGTTCTTTTCCTTTGCACCACTATCTGAGGCAACAATCTTCTTGGGAGGCATCATGAAATAATTATTTTCACACTAAATTTAGAAAAAGATTAACTCACAAGCACTCAGACACATACATCAAAGAACACTGAGTGATATGACAAGGGGATTCCCCAGATCGGGAAACTCGTTACTCGAGTCAGTGCTCTTATTTAGAGATGAATTTTTGCTCATGCTTTCCTCGTATCTTGAATTTCTCATATATAGAGGTGCTTATATCTTGAGGTTCCACTGTATTTTATAACAACATGGAATGAGATTAAATCAAAATTGCAAAGCCATCCGTATCTGGATTGTTCTTTAAATTCAATTCATCGAGGTTATTCCTAACGTTGGTAACTTCTTATCATATCTTTTACCTCCAGACTCAATCATCAGGAGATACTTTTAGCCAATTTAATTTAAATTTACCATATTCATCGAAGAAGAGGGGACAATGCATGTGGAAAATGATGAAAAGAAAGGGAAGAGATGTTATTGTTTGAATGAGAAGACCCCTTCCATAAAAACGTAAGGTAACTGTAATGCTAAGGTATCTCCTTTACCCCTCCCCCCTCTCTTTTCTCTTAGCACCGCTTGACTCTGCTTGAGAGGTTCAGTGAGCCTCCATTTTGATCAAAATTATTGCAATATCAATTTGTTATTGTATGTGTTATTAATGTTTCTAAAATAAGACATAGCATTATCGTTGATAATGCTTATGCTGCGCTTTATCAATGTGACATAAAATTTTGCACCATGCCTCATTTTGAACATATTTCATGGATCAAAGAATTAGTAGGTTCATATGCTGTTCATTCATGTGTAATAATCCAGAAGATGATTTTCATGTAGGCAGCTCATTAAATGTAACTTCTCTTTAAATCCAATAAAAACTCAAAATTACACAATGTTCTAAGCAATGTAGATCTATTAATTCACTGTAATATATACATACACACGTGTGTGTTTGTGTATGTGGAGAAATATTGTAAATGCATTGTTAAACCAGTTCTTTGGTTAACAGTATGATGTATATTTGTCACACATGTGGGAGGCAAGGCTTTTCGATAGGACTTTCTAGATTATTTATTTATGGCAAGGCTTAGATCTATTTCATGTGGGAAGAAATACTTTCATATAGAACGTGCTAATGGAACTTGCATTTTTTACGTTACAAATGAAGAAATTTCGTGCAGTCAGCCTTTCTAATTGTTAGGAATAGAATGTGAAATGACATACCAGTATTTTTAATGCTTTAACCACTTGATACTCACATTTAAGGAGAATTAGCCAATATGTTAGGAAATATTTGTTAGCAAGTAATGTGTATTGAAGTAAGTTCATTTTTAAAAGTTTAGTGCTTTTTTAAGTTTTAATAAATAGAAGTTTTACAATTTGGAGAATAATCAGCAAACTTTTTCAATTATCTTTTTATCCAGTTGCAGTGATTTCTATATTATTTTGTTCCATTTGCTTAGTATAACTTGAATACCATTTGCCATTTTTATGAAATCATATATGTGTTTTCATTCTTAAAAGGGTCCCAGATTATTTATGCATTAAATCCTCATGCACCAAGAGAATAAAGTTTATTCACTTTCAAAAATATGTGTGATTCTTTTTCATAAAATCAAATGCTATTTGATTTTATGAAAAGCTATTTTATTTTCCCCCATTTGTAAAATATTTCTTTCATTCTCAGAAAATATCGACCACTTAACAACATGTGAATTTCAGCAATTTTTGCAATAAGCATCTTATTATATTCTGATAACTTCTGTTTGTAAAATTAGTATTCAGTTTAAAATTGGATTTAGGCTTGTATTTGTTTCCATAAATATGTTGTTACTACTCACAAACTTTTAAGTTATGTATATAATTGTGTGTTTGAATATGAGTGATGAATGCTGACACATTTTGTCTGATGAGGGGATGTCCTTCATGGAGGACATTCTGAGGGAAATCAACTCATATTTATGTTACACATGGGAAAACCCACGAATACATTCCGGCAATTAGCTTGTTTGGAGACATCTAATTGCTTGTACTTTGATGTTGTAATCATCATAATTTGAAGCAATATGTTATTCATGCAAAATTCATCATTTTACTTGTTAGCAGTAGTTCATTCAGATTATATTACTTTCGTCATCATCTTTTGCCCATTCATGTTTTAGTTTTTGAAACATACTTCTTCACTTTAACTACTTGAGTCTTTTCTGAACGAATTAAATCGCTTGTTTAAGCTTATTTTGCAAAACGGGCACAAAGAC